GCCTCCCGCCGAGCAGGGAGCCCGATGTGGGACTCGATCCCGGGACCCCAGGATCATGACCTGAGCTGAAGGCAGACGCTTAACGACTGAGCCACACAGGCGCCCAAAATTCATGTGCTTTTAAAAGGAATATAATTTTCACCACAAGCAACAATTATGTAATAGTTTGCAATGAAATTTGCAGTATAATTTATTATGGAATACTTATTTAAAAAAAAAAAAAACTGGTAGAATACAGACCACAGTAAAGGGTTTTAAACATTTAGAAAGACTTACCTCATCACAGTCTCCTTCAACCATGGCATATATAGCTTTCTTAACCAAGTTTGTACCTAGAACATAGATATGAGTATTAATGAAGGAAAATTTAGTTTCTTAAAGATACCTAAATTATCATATTCATACTAAGCACAGAAATATCAAATGCTGGGTTTACCTTGAATGCAGATACACAGACTATCTTAAGTGAGAAAAAATTTAAACTGAGAGGCCAACAGAACCTACACATGGCAATATAATAAAAAACCTATCTCCCTCCATATGTTTCCCTTTTTCTTAGGTGTAATTACTTGCTCCAAGCAGGAGTTTGTGCTGTTCTGTTTGAAGGTAAGAGAAAAGGGGAAAAAGAAAAAGGCAAGATATGGTACGGTCAGAGCAACCCAGGAAACCCTTGAACTAGCTGAAGTTACTACAAGACTCTTGAGCGAATCTTGCCAAAGATTACACCAGAAACTGCTGTGACGCAGAGTGGGCCCAAGATACTGGGTTGGTTCCTACAAACCTTAGAGTGAGCCTGAGCATACTGAAGTCCAGCATTCCCAAATGATGCCAGTGGTGTCTCTGTAAATGTCTAGCAAAATGTATCCTAGTTTAGGGTCAGATACATCTGGTACATAAAAGGGAAAACAACTGCCAACTCTGATTTTAAGAAATCCAAATTCTGTAAGGAATCTCTTAATTTTCCAACCATGCACATGAGGAAGATCACATTACACGGGCCAAACAAAATGTCTGAGGGCTAAGATGCAGCCCTCAAGCCACCAGGTTCTGCCCTGTGAACTAGTCAGACAATTGCTAATCATTTGCCATGAGCCCTTATCAGCTCTTTTTAATGTGTCAAAAACTCAAACTTGGCTTATATAACAAGTCCAATCCATTAAAAACCTTAGTAGTAAACTCTTAACTCTAATAAGAAAGGTTGGTTAAACCAAATGTATTAAGTCAACCTATTCATAATGATTTCTCATGACATCTCAGATTGTGTGAAACAGTCTTAAATCGGACAAAAACATTCGTATTAAGAAAAAAACTACAAGTGACAAAAAAACTGCTAGTAATTAAATACTGGTACAGGCATGAAATCTTTCACGAATTCTTACTGAGCTCCACTAGATCCCAGAATTGGACATGCTCAGACAAGTGCTTGATCCCCCATCCTGAACAAAAAGCCAGTAGGTCCTAGACACTAGGACAGTGGCTCTTAACCAGGCTTACATCACAGTCACCTGGGGAAGCTTCAGTCCTACTTTTAACAGGACAAACAAGATTCTCAGGAGGAGGGACCTAAGCATTTGTTTTTAAACCACCCAGTGATTCTAACGACCATTATAAATCACAAGTTTAACTGAAAATGCCAGGAAAAGTAGACCCAAGAAAGAGATGAAATTGGGAATACTAAGAAACAATTCTTTCTCCTGGTTCTCCCTGATTTGTTAATATGTTTGAGGACTAGTACTAAATAATGGTAACAATTTCTCCATAATTTTGCCTTGAGGTCCACTTAAGCCAGGTATAGACAGCTCCTGGAGGGCTGTGATCAAGTGCCCCAGTAAAGCTACTGAAAACGGCAGTATGTAGTATAACACAAATCATTTTGAATGTGATAAAAAAAAATGTTTGGAGGTAAAAATTGATCACCTGCTACTTGTTAGAAAGATAATTTCTCAAAGCATTAATAAACAGGTCATTTTAAGAACATTTTAAAAATATTTTGAAATAAAAACCTTAATTTTCTTCCCTTCGCTTCTTTCTCATTTCTACATATTTACATTTAAACCTTTTGCTTCAAAAAACAAAAATGAAAACAACTTATGCATTCTTTTAGTGACATAATATTTTCCTTACCAATGCCATTTCTCCTGTATTTGGAATCCACGGCTAACATGGCTATATAACCTCTGCGGAACATCTTTTTGTGCATATCCAACTTGCAAACGATGGCACCTACACACTCCTCCCCTACCATGGCCTTAAAAATAAACAAACAGTTATGAAGAATACATTGCCATCAGGTACTGCACAATTACCCAGGGAAACAGCAACCAACCACTGGTCACATTTTTGAGGAAGAAGAGATAAGAATTCTAGTAAGAGAGCAATCACAGAAGTTTCAGAAATCTAAATCCTAGAACTCCTTCAAATATTCCAGTTTTAAAATCGTTCAACGTTGTTTAGGGCATGAATTGCTTATGTTTATTATCAAAGCCTAGTGGGGAGGGGGGAAGCAAGATTCCCACAAAGCAAACATTCAAGTACTTTATAAGAGGTGCTTATAATTATTTGCAATAAAGACCTACATGTTTAAGATTTGGAAAGGGGGAAATATATGAAAGTAATTTTTTTAAGAAAATGTCTATTCATTAGGATATGATAAAATATTGTGAAACTTGCTTATCAAAGTACTGTAAATTTAAACGTAATTCTAATAAAGTTTTGGTGAAAAACAAATATAAGACATGATATTTATACATGAACAGTAGGGTTAGATTTTGATCAGGAAAAAAAAATGTAAATGATTTTCAGAAAAAAGATTGCTTTTAAGGTATTCCTTGGATCCTACCCAAGGGGTTTTTTTAGTGAACGACCATGAAGACTAGATATACAATGGTCTCATTTTTAGGACACTCCTGACACTATCATTCTCATAAAGCTCAGAGAATATCTAGAACTTAAAATCAGAGTTTCATATTATACTAAAAGCTTTAATATAACTTTACAGAATTATTTTAATAAAAATGTATGTCTTTCCAGAGTATTAAAGGTTACATGTTGAATAAATGCTAATCATCCCCCATTTTCATTAAGATTTCCAGTGTTACCATTAAAAATGTTTTTCAAAAGTTCTGTCACTCATGAAAAGTTCTAACAATACTGTATTCTGGTAAATATCAATAGGGCAATACTCCAATAATTTAATAACGTGTCAGCTCGCTAGAAATATGTGTTTGCTATAAAGAGCACTCATTAAAAAAATAGGAAAACTTCAAATTATCTCTTAATAAAATTAAATTTTTAGAAGAAACTATTTCAGCAACAAAAACCAGGAATTGGGTTAAAAAATTAAAAAGCCCTCATTCTGTAAAATGATTAAAAAGTCCTTTTTTAATTGTGGAGAAATCTTGTAGGCAAGGTAATTCTAATCCATTTCACACAAACCTGAACTAGGTCAGAAAAATCTTTTTGATGGGATATTAAATTCAACAATTCACACTAATGCATTTCTGCTTTATCACACAATCCAAAACTATTTTGAACCAATAAACCTCTAAAATTGCTATTTCCATTTTCATTCACAATAAATCAATCTGGTTCTATCAAAATTCTTTTGAAAACTAAAATTTCTTTCTGAAATAAGACCTGAAAAATACAAAAAAGTTGGCTGGCTGAACAACTCTGACAGCATTTTTCTGATTTGAAAGTAACTCACCTCAAATATATGTATGTGGTTGTGTGTGTGTACATGTTTGAACTAATAGTACATTAAAATACTTTTTGACCTGATCTCTTAAGTTAGGGAAAAACAGAAACCTATATAAATCTAGGATACAAAACTGTAGGACAGCTACACTTCACAGTTAGTAAACCATCCAAAAGAAGTTTCTTCAAAATCAGAACCTCTAGACACAATACAATTGGACAAGACTTTCAAATTGGATAGGAATTTCAAACAAATCTTCGTCCTTTGACCAAGGAAGTAATAGGCAAACGAAGTATTATATCAGTTCACACTTGGACTAGATTGACTTCTTCCTAATTAAGAATCTGTAGGAGCAAAAATCAAGTGGTACGAATCAGTAAAAAAATAAAAGCCCAGTTTACAATATACTATTACTAATAAGATGTTGGTAGTGAGGAAGGCCTATGCTGTTATTTTTTTTTTCTGATAAATTGCTGATGGATATACACTTATAAGAATCCCTAAACTATTTGTCAATTTTTCCAAATAAAAGCTTTGCACATATATTTGGAACTCATACTATCAAATGTGTTCTTTTTTCAAGGATGGGAACTGAAAAATTCCTGGCAAGATTAAGACTTAACTCTACAAGGCCAAATGCCTGTCAATCTATAAAAGTTGAAAAATTCAAGTTGTGTGAAATAGAAATTCCCAAATTCCAGAATGCTATACATGGGAAAACAGAGGAAGCCAGAAAGTTAAATTTAGAATAAACAGACTAGAATACATCACTGGTAATAAGTTTAAGAAGTTCAAAAAGGCACCAACAGCTGAAAATACCATGAACTCAAAAGAGGTAGAGCTAAATTAGTTAAGAGTAGAGTAATTCACGGTGTCTCCCATTTGTCTGGTACTCTACTTTCACATTTGTTACAATTATTAGGAAGAATCATAAGAAACTGTCATTTTTGTTAGTCAGATATGGTCAAGTATTGGCAATTTTCTAAGGTTCAACCTCATACATTCCATTTGATCCATTACAGGTTATATGGAAACCAAAAACATTTTGGAGGTTTTCAATCTCTTCAGATTTTTCATGTTTGCAAGGACAACCGTCCCTTGATGAAGCATAACTTGGTAACACAATGATCTTCACTGTCAAGAGTATGTAATTTTTCAGGTTCTTATTTCCATAATAAGAGGTCAGGTAAAGTTCTAGTTTTACCTCTCTGCCACTGAATACCTGAAGCTTTTTTTTTTTTATATATAAGTTTTATTTTTATGTAATCTCTACACCCAACTTGGGGCTCGAACTCACAACCTAGATCAAGAGTTGCATGTTACACTGACTGAGCCAGCCAGGCACTCCTAAGTATCTGAAGATTTAAACATTTTAAGTCACTTTGGTCCTTAATTTTTTTTGCATTAAAAAAAAAAAGTAAAGTTGAGCTAGATTATATTTAAGATCCTTTACAGTTCTAAAATGATATGACTTAAAATAAACATACACACTTATATTTGTTTTAAATTAGTTCTTACAGGAAATTCAAATTTTTTAAATGCCAACATAAAGGCCCCAATTCTAAATGGCCTCTGATTAACTACTGTTTTATGTTCAATACCTCCAGATATATATTTGCACTAGTAAATCTTAGATGTCAACCACCTGTACATATCTCAATTTCCAGATATTCAGAATTTAATGTTAAACAAACCAGCTATTAAAGAGCTAAAGTACAAATCAGCTGGTGAACTGGAAGGAGTCTATGAAATATCAAAACTAAAATTTACTAAGTTTATCAGAGTCTAAAATGGCAGACAAGTTGAGAGAGGCCGAGGTAATATCAGAACCCAAAGCTGACTAAATATTACATATACAACTATTTTCTGTAATTAACAGAAATACATATACTATTTCAATTTAAGGTTTGACTCAAGTGTATGCTTTTGTGGGTAAACTTAAAATTAAATCAATCATAAATTTTTAGCAATTACACTGGCATTTAATATGACATGTATAATAGTGCTATAAAATCACTTTCCCATATTCATTAGCATAGGCATGTCTAAGAACTATTTTGATACAATGGTTAGAATCCTGGAAGTGCAGTTTTGTAAAATATAAGATAGTTCCCACAATTTAAACAGACATACTAAATTGAAGTTTAGCAAACTGAACATAGAAAACAACAGAACTACCATTATCTACAATATTGAAGCAGTATTTTCAGATTATCAACATATAGAATCAAAAAGATAGATTTCAAAGCACTGTCAAAACATCTTGCAGGGATTTGCTAAGTGCAACTAAGTCAATGCTAAAACAATAAATATAGCAGTGCTCTCCCTTTACATTTCATAAAATATTAAAAGCATGTTGCCTTTCCTCAGTGAAATTCAATGGAAACAAAATGCTTGTGAGGACACAGATATAAAGCATATACCTTCAGTTAATATTTAAGTGAAAGGTTTCATACAGACTAAAGTTGGTCACTATTATTGGGAAGAAACTACCGGTACTGCCAATCCTACATAAATTAAAAAACAAAAAACTATTTAGCTAGTTTCATAGCCAAATCTTTTTTGCTTACATATAAGTAAAAAAATTTTGTCAACTATAACTTTACACAGGCCAGTGTTACTACTAGTATTTAGGTATATCTATGACCAGTTTCTTAAAGAAAAAAATTAGGTGAGGAACAATTTCACACTTAGTTTCTTACATTCCACAAAAAGGTATTTTGTTCAAGTTTCAGGAGTCTTTCAGTCACCAGAAGTGTTAGTAGTGCCTTCTAAAATCTAGCACCAGCGTGTTTTCTGGTGCTACAACTGTTAACTGTCCTGTTGAAGTAAAAGGAAACAATCCCCATAATTACTTGAAAATAAGAAAATGCTTGTTAAGATTTAATTCTCCAATGTGGCCACAGCAAGTTTACTGACAATCATGTTCACCAAAACATGTTTATGCATACACTCTTCCCTGATTACGGCTGTAATTGGGAGATTAATAAAGCCTGTATCCGAACAGAACCATGTTCAAATTAAATGACTGCAAAGTGCTCTGAGGATGAGGGAGGGTAATTAAAGACAGTTAAACATGATTATAAGCTAATATAAACAGGATCCAAGACCCCCAACATGCATCATACAGGCTTGTTGCATTTACATACCAACTTAAGCCAGATCAAGACGTCTTACCTTCCAAGGTTTCATTAAATAACTAGTAGTGCGTACACGCACTTTCCATCATCTAACATACTATGAAACGCAGGAGTATACATCCACTGCCACTCTCAGCCCTCACACTCCCTGCCCTGCACGGCCTGGATCTCTCTGCGGGGTTCACCCTCTTTGCATTCCATCCACTTACCAAGAAGCACAGCTGTGGCCAGTTGTGGATAAAATATCTATAGGTATAAATGGAGTAGGGTTCAGACAGATCTTTGGTGATCAGTCTCATGATATCGGGCATTTGTAGCTCGGATTCATATCGGACATAACGTATCGTCCGATCCTCCCCAGGCTCAACCTCCCTGCCTGAGGGGCTTCTTAAACTGCAGCCGGCGGTCAGGGATGAAGACAGCAGCCGCACCTGCTCGTCTTCCTCCTCCTCCTCCTCCTGCTCGGTGCCCTCCGCCAGTCCATTGCGGGTCGCCGCAGGATCGCTCGCCGCCACTGCCTCTGCCGGGCTGGGGAGCGCAGTTCTTCCATTATTGGGGAGGCAGTGAGGGGGACTCTCGCCCGAGTGTACCCCAGCTCCTTTTGTTGCAGTCGCTCTGGGCCCCCCGTCGGGGGTGGCCGTGGTCGTGGCCGCCTCGGCCACGCTCAAAACCTTGCTCTTGAGGGAGGCGGCCGCCCGGAGGTGCCGCAGTTCGGGGCTGATCAATCCGTTGAGCTGCTGCTGCTCCTGCGGCGGCTGAGGGCAGCGGAGGCACGGATGCCCCTTGGCCGCCGCCGTCGCCTCGCCGCCCGCCGGGCTCCTGCCGCCGCCGCCTTCGTGCTCCTCGTCGTCCTCCTCGTCCTCGCTGCAGCAGGCGAGGGCGGCCCCCGCCGGGAAGGGACAGCGGGGCTCGGCCGCCGCCGAGGCCGGAGGTGCTGGTGGTGGGAGGAGGCTGCTAGGCCCAGGCGGTACCTCCGCCATCCTAGAGGCGACACAGACCGAGAGGGGAGGCCATGAGACCCGGCGGACAAGCGCGCAGCAGAGGGGGCGGCGGGCGGGCGGGGGGGGAACGGTGCAGGTGGGGGGGGAACAAAGGCAGAAACCGTCCCTCACGGAGCAGCCCCCCCAGTTCCGCGCCCCCCCCCGCTCTTCAGCGCCGCCCAGCTGTTCAGCCGGCCACCGTCCCCGTCCGCCCGCAACCATCCGCTGGCCCTGTCACCCGCAGCCCCTCCCTGTCCCCTCCGCGCGGCTCACCCCGCACAGGTCCCCGCCGCCACTGCCGCCACTCCTCTTCCTCCTCAGCCGCTGCCGCCGCCTCCTTCGCCGCCGCGGCCGCCTCCACCACCGCCAAGGTTCACACTCAGCCGCCGTCGCCGTAAAGCGCCTCGGCTGTTACCCCGGGTAAAGTTTCCTAGGCCTGGCTTTACGACACTTCCCTGCCTGCCGGCTGCCGGGGCCAAGGGAAAGGGGCGTGGAAGGAGGTGACCTGTGGAGGGGCGGGGACGAAGGTGTCTCCTGTGGTCTCTGGGGGAGGCCGCGTGCTAACGGGTGGGGCTGTGGGGCCGGGAAGTTTCTGAGGGCTTTGGAGTCTCCGGCTCCCAGCCCACCGTCCTCGGCTTTGGAACTCCTCAGCCCGCCAAGCTTACAACGCTGGGCCGCGGAGAGCTGGGCGGGACCGGCGCTCCCTGTTCCAAGCCCGCCGCCCCAACGGAGCGGCCGCGAAGCCCGCGGGCTGGTGGTCTGTCGACCCGGCCGCACACGAGTCCTCTAAAAATGCTCTTCCTCAGCTGTACTACGTTTGCCCTGACCCGGAGAGGGGCGGGGGAGGGAGGCAGAGGGGGGAGGGCGGTTACCTGAAGCCCTTAAAAAAGTGGAGCAAAACGGGAGAAAAATCGAAAGAGAGAGGGCGTTAAAAGCTGTTGAAAACTGGTTGCAGTGTGAGTTGTTTGATCAGTCTGCCCCTTTGAGACAAGAGAAGGTGGACAGGTAGTCCTCTTCCTCTCTCCTTACCCCCCTTCACCCCACCCAGGAATTTGGAAGTAAATGTGATTAAAAGGTGCTGGACAGATACAAGCACGTCTGGGGAAGAGTTAGAGATGGTGGAATAGAGTGACAACGGCGAGAAAAGCCCATTCCTAAACTTATGACACAAACTGTCACCGGGAAAGCGAAGTCCTGAACCTCTTCCTCACTTACTCCACCAAGTGGTCCGCCCAAGCGGATGCAAAAGGAATTGAACAGCCGCACGCACTTGAGCACGTGGCTTCGCTCTTTCCTCTCTAGTCCGCAAGTATTTCCAGCAGATCTCTTCTTGTAACTCTCCATCACACCTAGCGCATTAAGTTTTTCGAAAACTGATTTGTAGAGCTAGTCATGTCAGCAGCAGATGGATGTTTTCAGAGACATAATTTTATGACTGATTATGTTTGCAACTTTCTGCCATGATAAACTCTAGAAAGTGGGATACACTGTAGCATAGCTATTAGATACAATTGTTAGGATCCTTGTCACCAAAGATAGTAAGGACAAACCTTCCATCTAGAAGTTCAATCTATAGTGATAAAAATAGTAATAATAAAATGTGTTACTATGTGCCAGGGGTGGTTCTAAATATCTTACATGTATTTATTAACTCATTTATAGGTTTTATAAAAACTAATTTATAGATTTTTATAGAAATATTGACATTTGTGTACAAATAGAGATGTAGATGCTTATTTATTTTAGCCTTGTCTATAATTGGAAACAAGTCCAAACCGCCTAAGTGGAATGATTAAATAAGGAATGATTAAAATAAGCTTATGATGCCTTAATACTGTAGTTAATTATGTTATTGTTGAAATATTGAAATAGATTGAATATAATAGAATATATTGGTACACTTCAGGTCACTATGATTGCATTGCAAAGTACCCCCACAACACAGTGGTATAAAACAACCATTTATTATGCCAACCGATTCTGTGGGTCAGGAATTCAGACCGCACAGCAGGAATGACTTTTCTCTGCTGCCTTTATGCATATGGCCTTAACTGGAAGGCTGAGAATTAGAATCATCTGAAAACTTTTCACTTTCATGTTGGTGGTTGATACTGGCTGGAGGCTGCAGGCTGGAGACCTCAGTTCAACTCCATGTAGATCTCTCCAGGTCTCAATATGGACTACTTTAGGCTTTCACACAGCATGATGGCTAGGTTCTAAGGGTGAGTATCCCAAGAGAAGGAGAGCCAGGTTTCTACCATATTACCTTTTATCTGCCTTAGAAGTCATGCAGTGTCAATTCTGCTGCCTTCTATTTCTCCACGCCCTCACAAAACCTCACCCAGGTCTGGGGGAGGGGAAATAGACCCTACTTCTTGATGGGGAAAGGCAAGGTTTTTAAAGAGAATGTGGGACCAGAAATATTGCTGTGGCCATTTTTAGAAAGCACAAGTTGTCATAGGTGCTTAAGACCTCCTAAACACCCTAAGGAGGTAAAATAAACATAAGTACAATGGGATCCCATTTATGGTTTTTAAAAAGTAAAACAAAGCCATATTTCCAAATGTACATTCATTGTTTAACAATACATATTTTTCAAATGACATAAGTTTGAAGTGTATCCTAGATGGTCAGCCAAAGAAACAACAATCTGTTCAAGTCATGCAGGAAAAAATGGCCAAAATGGCCCCATACAACTCCCCAAAACATATTTAAGGTGACTTTTACTTAGAAAAATGTCTCTTGTTATCTGTGGACTATCACCCTGTCCTAAAAGAGATGTGACTGCATTGTAATGAATGAGTGGCAGCAAGTCTTAGTGTTCTTTCCATACTATAACTTGGCACTGAGCTTTCTCACACTGAGGGGTTCACTAAATGTTGTCTCACAGTTATTTTCAGAAAGATGAGAGAAAGACCTCCTTGAGGTCAGTGACTGAGTCTTATTCACTTATTATTCACATATCTAATACATAAAAGGAGACTTGCTAGTTGTTGTTTTTTTCCCCCCTACATTATGCTATTCTCTCAGCAGTCTAGGATGTTTATAATTACAAAGTAAATTCTGGCTTCCTTGCTAGTTAATAAGCTAATAAGATCTCTGATATTTAAGCTCCAGTGACTCCACTTTATATCCCAGTATTAAAATCCCAGTGATGATCTTCTAAGTCAGAAGACTTCTCTAAGAAATCTGTCTTTATATTTGTAAAAGTCTTTTCTTTTTACTCATGTTTGTGAGTAATATGTTGATATGATGGCAGCATTATTTTAGGTATAGAAATAGGATTAGTTCACTCTAATGCTTTAGGCATATGTGCCTATTATGAGGCTCTGAAGAGACATCTATCTCTGTGAGCAATGACTTCAGAGCAAGGAATGGTCTCGGAGCAAGGGAGGTGGAACCAGTGATAGTCTTCTATCTGGATAAATGGTACTTTCATTGCTTTGTCATATCTTATGATTTAATAGTCACTTGTTTACTATTGTCTTTGTTCTCTTTTAAACAATGAAAGGACACACCTTAAGCTTTTTAGAAGAAAAAACTCCTCATTAAATCAACTAAAATAGGGGTGCCTGGGTGGCTCAGTCGTTAAGCATCTGCCTTCAGCTCAGGTCATGATCCCAGGGTCCTGGGATCGAGCCCCACATTGGGCTCCCTGCTAGGCAGGAAGCCCGCTTCTCCGTCTCCCACTCCCCCTGCTTGTGTCCCTCTCTCGCTGTGTCTCACTCTGTTAAATAAATAAATAAAATCTTTAAACAAAATCAATTAAAATAACCAACAGCAATTTTGAAACAATATCCTAAAGCAACTTCCTGAAGGAGAAAAGTTCCTTCCTAACTCCTAACAGGTAGACATTCTTCTCTTGTTGGCCAGGTTTAGGGGTGATTCCTGGCTGTGTACCTACTGGAAAGGTAACTGTGGGAATGAAGTTGCTAATAATGGAGAGATGCTTTAAGTTCTCTTGACTCAGCAGGATGTCATGTTATGTACCATAGGCGTACCTACTGAATAATTTAAATATTTGTGTAGTTTTATTTTACATGCCATGTGGCTCTTAATCCTACTAATCCTATCTATTATACACAAAGCCTTGAATATAAATGTCCTTAACTTTGTTTTATCCTAGATGAAAGAAAGGGGACACATCAAATTTTAGATTTATAGCATTTAATCAAAGGATGAGTATTGTTTTACCACCTGTAATCTTGGAACACAATGAGATTCCCAGGTAAAGTGTTTTAGTTAACAATTTGATTCTTCTCTTTGAATTTTAGGGAGTGACAGTCTGTTCTTTAACCCTCTGACCCTTTGAGAACAGTGGTTGGCAGTCCCAACTGTAGGCATAGGTTTTGTCTGTATGACTGAGGCCTCGGGGGTGTATAAGGAACCAGAAAGGACTATGGTCAAATGGTCGCTATTTCCATTACTTTCAAGCTCATACTTTCTAACTTGCTGAGGGCGTGGACAGACTGATTCTTCTATCTCCACCTGGGTAGGTGAGAGGTGCTGGAGATATATATATATATATATATATATATATATATATATTCCTATATATTAAAGCCATTGAAAATTCTTGGTCTCCAATTTAGCTATGCCCTCAGCTGTCAGTACTCTAGAGTTGTTTTTATCAGTTCTCCAGGCTGGCTTCATCCAACAGCAACTATCTTTGACCACTACTTGCTTCATACTCTCCTCAGCCGATGACCCTGCCTCTGCTTCACTAGGAAAAATGAACTATTCCAAAGGTGAACTCCCTCCACCCCCACCCCCCATGTTAATAAATGCATCTATATCTGAACTTACTCTTATCTCCTGCCCCTGGAAAAACATTAGAGGGTAGAAGATGGCCCAGTTCTTCAAGACTAATACCTCCCTCTACCTCTGAGCTTGATGCCATCTCTTTCAGTCTCCTTTGGTACCTGTCCCATCATTGTTCTCTCTCCTGAATTTTCAATGGTACCTTTGCTGGCTATTGCCTCAAAGTTTATAAATGCACTCTCTCTGGAGACTCCTGTTGGCTTTCTCTCCTTTCCATCACAGTGAAACTGCTAATCTGCAATAGATAGCCACCGTCTCCCCTCAGATTCAAGTTTGCTCTTTAGCCAGTCGGCTGGCCTTCCACCTCAACCCTTCCACTAACACCTCCCTGGCAAAAGTCACCCATTATGTCCCAAAGGCTAGACCCATTACACTCTTCAACTCCCGTGTCACTTTATTTTCCCATGGCATTTGATCTTGCTATGCCCTTCCAAAACTCTTCTCTTGGCTTCTGTCATACCATACTTCTTTGCCTTCCTTCTCTGAACATGCCTTCTCAGTTTTTCTTGATATTTGAGTCTATAATCATCACAGCAGTAGCTAGCATTTATTGTCGGCCTACCATATATTAAATATGTTATAAGCAATAGCCCACTTTAGTTCTCACA